TTGCTCATTTGCAGGTTTTTAAAAACACATAATTACAACTGTGACCCACATACAGCGCTTTTTATATTTTTCAGTACCTTTAGCAAAGGTAAATTACTTTATCCCTATTTGCAAAGTCAAAGTAATATTGAAGTGAGAGGGAATTTCTTCAGTACATATGGGTTTGGGGAAAAAGACTTACCTGAAGCAACCTAGCCATTTTCTATTAATATCACGAATATCACCCCTCAGTGGAGTCCCCGACTTCCAGTAGTTTACACAGACCCAGTCATATGGAGACCCCAAGGAAGGAGTCCATTCTGCTGTCAAACGACTCTATTTTTTTAAAAATAATTTTTATTAAGGTTTCAATCAAAAATTAAACAACAAAGAAAGAAAGAAAAACATAAAAAGATACACAAATACACAATACAAATCTCAAAAAGAAAAAAAAACATGAAAAGCAAGAATCAACAATAAAAAGAAACATAACAATTAAAAACAAATCTCTTTTCCATTTCCGTTTTTGAATTTACTTATTTTCTGGACTTCCTCATACCTCCCTCTTTTGTATTCCAATCCAAATTGTTTGTCCAGCAATTTCTTTTCCACTTTTTTAATCCCAATCTTTAATTTTAATATAATATATAACTTCAACTTCTTTAAACCTAATCTTTGGTCTTAATGTAATATAACATTAAAATTTTACCTCTTAATTGTCAAATTTCCATTTCCTTAAACATCTTTAATCCTAATCTTTAATCTGAGTCTATCATTAACTTTAACCTGTACAGCTGGAAACCGCTTATTTTCAGTCCAACATCACTCTAACATTCTTTAATTTTGCAATGTTTCTGAAGATAGTCTTTGAATTTCTTCCAATCTTCCTCCACCGACTCTTCTCCCTGGTCACGGATTCTACCAGTCATTTCCGCCAGTTCCATATAGTCCATAAGTTTCATCTGCCATTCCTCCAGTCAAACGACTCTAATTATCGGGAAATTCCTCCTAAGGTTTAGTTGAAATCTCCTTTCTTGTCATCTGAATCCACTGGTTCAAGCTCTGGAGCAGCAGAAAACAAGTTTCCTCCATGGGACAGATCTTTAGGCAGTTGAATATGACTCTCATGTCACCTCTCTGTGTCTCTTCTCCAAGCTAAACATACCCAACCCTTTCAACTGTTCATCACAAGACTTGATTTGCTGGCCCTTCATCTTCTTAGTCGCCCTTCTTGGCACACCTTCCAGCTTCTCCTTATCCTCTTATACTGTGGTGCCCAAAACTGGACAGAGCACTCCAGGTGGGTTCTGGCCAAGGCTGAATAGAGTGGTGCTATGACTTCCCTCAGTCGGGACACTAGACCTCTGTTAATGCAGCCTGGAATTGCAATAGCTTTTTCTATTGCTGCATCACACTGTTGGCTCTGTGGTCACAGCTAATGGGATAGAAATACTTCTGGTGGGTTCTGAGCAAGGCAGAAAGGAGCAGTAGCACTATCACTTATCTTGATCTGGACAATAGACCTCTGTCCTCTGGGAACAAAGGAGCCCACCCCCCAACTCCACCCCCCCTTGCCATCATCTTTCCTGAAGGATTTTTGTATTTCATTGTGCCTTTTATGTGGCCACCCCTTTAATCAAGGGAGCACTTGTTCTCTGTGAATATTTATCAAGTCAATAAGCGATGGATGAAACAGAGCTCCTGTCTTTTATGAAGGTATTGAATCTCACTTTAGTGTTATGACAATTTTATCACTTATCTTCCTGCTGCATTCTGAATACTCCACCATTAGCATTTTTAAAAAGACATGCTTGCTTTCCAAATTGATTTCCTTTCCTAACCTGTCTCATCTAAACCATCCCATGGAAAATGTGTCTCTTGATTAGAAAGACTGTACTGAATATTTGTAGAAGGTGGTGTTCTTCAGAAGTGCTGTATAGAATAATAGAACTTTAGAGTTGGAAGGGACCCACAGAGTTATCTAGTCCAACCCCCCCTGCAAGGCCAAATCACAGTTCTTACTGTGAGAAAGTTCTTCCTGATGTTTAGTCAGAATCTCCTTTTTTGTAACTTGAATCCAGTCATTTATTGGGGGGTTGTTGTTTGTTTTAGTGGGGAGGGGTTCAAAGACCAGGTATGGGCTTTCTGCCCTGGGGATCTTTTGGGACAGCCTGCTGTCTGCAGCTCTGGAAATGAGTTGCATCGTAGGTTTTCATGAGTTTTGCAAATTCAGCTCAGGCTTCATCCACATTGCTTGATGGTAGCAAGCCTGAAGACCTTGGCAAAATATTAGATGTAGCTTTTCAGTGCACCCCTCAGTGACTACACTCTTTCTGTCCACCACATCGAGAGCAAAAAGTAATTATATTTTCCCAAGTGCCTCGTGTGAAATTTAAACAAAATGCAACTCATTGCTCTAACTCTGAAAGGACACAAGGAAAACAATAGATAAATATGTATTGAAACTGTATGTGAGTTTGGGGCTCATCCACACTTTTGTTTGGCCCATATTTTGATTGTATTATGCAACAGTGATTAAGAGCTCATCCACTTTTAAGAGCTCACCCACACTTTTGCTTGACCTGTTTTTTTAAAATCATTTTGTGCACAGATTCCTGCATTGCAGGAGGCTGGAACATATGATGCTTGTGTTCCCTTCCAACTCTACAATTCTATGATTCTCTGCTTCTACCTGATGAATTGAAACTGGGTTGAGCAAAAACCCCTCTTGGATTTTCTGCCCATCTGATAAGTTCCAATTAAATGTATAAGCTTGGATTTTTGCAAGGCACAGCAGTGGAACAAGTAGAAAATGTCTTGGGCCAGGGGAAATTAATAATGGCACTATATGATCAAAATATGGGTGTCAGGCTGACAGAAAGCCCTGCCGGCTGTTATCCGAAACTGTAATCAGAAGCATACAAGCGACTTGGCAGTAATTAATTTTATTACTCAACAACGAGGGAGTCAGCATACATACACGCGATTCAGATAAGTAAGTCAGTTGCAGAAGCTAAGTTTCCGGACCCTCTTCCCCTTATTTATGACTGCCTCTGAAAAATACTTGGAGTCGGGTGTGAATTTCATGCTCTTTATTCAGCTCATAGTAGCAATGATGAAACTTTCCTCAAAACGTCTAGCTATATATACATTATTTACACAATGGGCCCTGCGTGATTGGCTAATTTCGGGCTGCTCCTGCAGGCCAATCAGGTTGCTGATTCACTTCCACCTGGAGCTGGATTTGGTGGCTTCTGCAGACCAATCAGACTGCTGCATTCTGGATCCTATTGTTCTAGGATTCAGCTCAGTACATAACACCCTCCTTGCATTCTTCTGCTGTGACTCAGCTTTTCTTTACCGGTCCAGCTGTTTCTGGGCCCTAAGTTCCTGTGCTGAGAGTGGGGGAGAGGAAGGAGTTGAAACAGGACGGTATTGCAGAGCAGGAGACACAGCCTCTGCTCCTTCTCTATCAGCATCTGTGGCTACATCAAGTCTCTCCCCTTCACCCCCACTCTCTGCTGATGATTCCTACTTGTCCCACCAGTCTGAACCTGGTTCAAAATCCTCTTCCCCTTCAGGCACCTCTTGGACCACAGGCTGCCACCACTCTTCCTCATGCAGCCAGTCCCTGACAATGGGTCAAGTGGAAGTGAGGATGAGCTCTTTGTTATATGCTGGACTCAGGACCCTAATACTTCTGGGACCACCTGTCCCCATATAACTCAACCCACCCCTGTGATCATCATCTGAGGCCCTTTTCTGTGTGCTCCCTCCTCGGGAAGCATGGAGGACGGGGGCTTTTCAGTGGTGGCTCCCCGCTAATTGGAATGTGCTCCCTGAGAATGCTCACCTGGCTCCATGGTTACATTTCTTTTTAAAATATTCATTTTTAATAATTTTAGGGTGGGTGGGATGCTTAAAAGTACACCCCACCCTCTGGTTTAAGGATATGTATGTATTTTCTTTTCTTTTCCGTAAGTCACTTTGAGTTGTCTGTTGGGGGGAAAAGCAACTAATAAATTCAAGAAAAGTAGTTATAAAAATAAAAAACAATGTTTTAAGGAAAGTTAACAAAAATGCATTCAGAAAAAGGATGCAGGTGAGCCCTGTTTAACAGGGATGGCGACTCTCCCTCCTTTTCACTCACTGGTTGCTCTGTGTTTCTCCGACTTTATTGCTCTTCCTTGTTCTCTTCTACTTTCCATTTTTCTTTGCTGAGATGCTTGAAATGAAATCCCATCATTGCGCAATGCCAGTCTGTTTCAGAGTGGTGTGTGCTCAAAGCCAAAACCCCGAGCAGCAGAGAGTTCTTGCTGCTGACAGACAAGATTGCCTAATGACCCTCTGTGGCAGACACTAATGGAATACTTCCTCTCCACATTCAAATCAGTGGCCTCTTTCTCTAGCCATCAGTTTACACCACAAAAGAAACCTGTCGAGATTGAAAAGGAGGAGCAGGCTGCAGCTGAGAAGGCAGTTACAAAGGAGGAATTCCAAGGCGAAAGGACTGCACCTGCACCCGAATTCACTGCTCCTCCGCAGCCTGAGGTGGCTGATTGGTCTGAAGGAGTGCAAGTGCCGTCTGTGCCAATACAGACAACATTCCCAGCTGAGGACTGGAGTGCACAGCCTGCCACTGAAGACTGGTCTGCAGCCCCCACTGCTCAGGCAACTGAGTGGGTAGGGACTGCCACGGAATGGTCTTAATACATCTACAGGAATTCATGAGTACAGTGAAAAATAAAGATCTTTCTTAATACAAAAAAAAAAAAAAAAAAAGGAACCTGTCAGGGGTAACTTGCAAAGCAAGAGAAAATGCTAATGCCAGCTTTAGGGTCTCTCTCTCTCTCTCCCCACCTCCCATTTTTCAGAACACTGTGGAACACTTCATAGGAAAACCGGAATGTAGGATGCTGCCTTAGACGGAGTCAGACCATTGGTCCATCTTGCTCAGTATTGTCTCCGCTGAGTGGCAGAGGCTCTCTAGAATTTCAGGCAGGGTCTTTCTCTCTCAGCTGTACCTCAGGATGCCAGGGAACTGAATCTGGGACCCCCTGCATGCAAGACAGATGCTCTACCACTGAGCTGTGGCCCTTCAGAATGTGGCCTGGATTGGACCTGGAGGCAGAGAGAGAGATAACAGAGTTAAGCTGTGGATGACAAATCAGTGATAGAAATCCCCCAGATCTACCGGTATATTTTCAGCCCCTGAACACCTGGCAACCCCATGAAATCTTATACAAGAGAATAGTGAAACATATGTATATGGCTTCCTATTTCAGTTCCATGAGATATAAATCTCCTTTCTATTTGGGACTTTGCACGTGCAAAGCACATGTGTGGCAGAGAAGCCCTTCCTGCAAATTGGGAGACAATGTAGTATAGTGATTAGTGCTGGACTTGGACCTGGGAGACTATGATTCAAATCCCCACTCAGTCATGAAGCTCACTGGGTGTGACCTTGTGCCAGTCACTCACTCTCAGCTTAAATTACATTACAGGGTTGTTGTGAAGGTGGTGGTGGTGGTGAGGATTAGAGTGTCAGTCTAGGACTTGGGAGACCACAACTGAAATATCCCATGGAGCTTACAGGGTTAAATGCCCATGGAGCTTATAGGGTGACCTTAGGCCAGTCACTCACTCTCAGTTTAACCCATCTCACAGGGTTGTTGAGGGGATTAAATGAAGAGGGGCAGAATCACGTGTGGCATCTTTGAGCTCCTTGAAGAAAATCGTGGGATAAAAATGCAGTAAATAAGCAAAATATAAATAAATCTAGTTATCATCTCTCATCAGATCCCACGCACGTACAGGTTTGCGTGGTTTATAGGCTGCAATGTTTCCCTTCCATGGAGCACATGGTGACAAAAGGGAAGCTTTGATCAAGTCACCGTTGCAAACTTATTTGTTCCTCTGCTTCTTGCATAGCAGACGTGGTTTAGTGACCTAAGGTCATTAGCAGAGGGCCATCTGGCCTCTGGCCCAGGAAAGGAGGGCAGCCAGAGCACACCATGTTCCACGGTACAGTATTTGGCACCACCAGAATTTGGACAAACTTTATTTTTAATATTATTTGTATTTTTAGTTACACAGGGTTTCTCTCTCTCCTTCAAGTGAACCACTTGAGTGACATGTTGCTAATTTCCACCCAAAGAAGTCTGATGAGTGCTGCCTTCTAGCATGCCAAGATATTAGGATGTTCTGCTGCTGTGCCGCAAGGACTTCTCTGAGCTCTTGCAAAAGGATGATGGGCTTCTGTCTATTTGGCAAACCTCCACTTTCCTGGCCCCAAGAGGGTTTGCTTGTTAAAACTCAACTCATTATTTTGTATTCCCTGGAAATTCCTATGAAAGGCAAGGACATCAATACATCAGAGGAGCCCTGCTGGATCAGTCCAATGGACAATCTAGTCCAACATCCTGTTCTCACAGTGGCCAACCAGATGCCTTTGGGAAGCCCACAAGCAGGACCTATGCACAAGAGCCTTCTCTCCCCTTATGTGGTTTCCAGCAACTGGTGTTCAGAAGCACTGCAGTCTGTGACTGTGGAGGCCAAGCCTTTGATAGCCCTCTCTTCCTCTTCTTCCTCTGTGAATTTGTGTCACCCCCTTTGAAAGCTATCCAAGTTAAGAACATAGGGGACCGTCCTAAACCCTAGAAATTAATAAATGTTAGGATTCTGATTATTTGGGGTGTAAAGGGAGAAATACAAGCTGCAGAGGAATTCCTGGGCTAGCCTTTGCAAAAGGACTTCGCCAAGCTAGGGCCATTAAGAAACAATAGAGGGCCTTTGAGGGCCATTGGCAATGCTAGAGAACTGTTCTTCCCCCTTGCCCCGAGGTGCAAACAGAGACAAGGGTTTGGAAGGTTGTCAGGGTAGCTAGGTGTGAAGTGACAGGAAGAGACTCCTGAGCAAGGGTTGCTGGGAAGAATGGCTGGGGTCCATTTTTGGGCTGGTGGCTGCAGAGCTGACTGGGAGAGATGTCTTGGGCTTCATGGCTTCACTGCTGTGAGAGACAAGTCCCTCTTGAAATGACCATGTCGTAAGATCTGAAGGAGTAAATAGGTGACCAAACCATATTTCTTAAGACTATGTCGTAAGATCTGAAGGAGTAAATAGGTGACCAAACCATATTTCTTAAAGCTACGACAGCCTCCACTGTGTCTCACTTCTCCAAAGGAACACAGGCCCAGGGTGAGTGCCTGGAACCCCATGGGCTCTTGCCACCACTAGGCAGAGAGAGGGGCAGGCACCCAACTTTTGTAACACTAGTAATAGCCCTAGCAGGATAAGGTCAATGGCCAAACTAGTCCAGAATCTTGCTCTCACGGTGGCCAAACAGATGCCTTCAACGGGAAACCAGCAAGCAGGATTCGAGCACAACTACAACACTCTCCCCTCCTGTGGTTTCCAGCAACAGAGATTTAAAAGCATTGGTGCCTCCAACTGTGGAGGCAGAACATAGCCACCATGGCTAGTAGCTATCGATAGCTCTCTCTCTGTCATGAATTTCCTAAATTCTACATCCATTCTAATTTGGTGCTCTTCCCTGCCTCCTGCTGGAGTGAGCTCCATAGTTTATCTCTGTGCTGCATGAAGAAGTCCAGCAGTGATGCCCAGGAATGTAAGGACAGGCCCAAGGGGCGAGGCTTTTTATAGCTTTCCCGAATTTTCCCTGTCTGTGTGAGTCCTAACCAGTTGAACTTGCAGCTATAGCCACTTGCAGGGTCGTCAGGAAGCTTTTTACTGCTCCTTGCTGCTGAGTCATTGAGGTGGCAACTCCAAGAGCTGTGTGGGAGGTGCTGGCTTATGAAGCCCAAGGATTTCATAAGACTATCCTCAGCAGGTACAGCAGCCTGGCCCCATTGGGTCAACACCAAAGGGGAGATGCCAAAGGTTATAATCTCTTTGAAGTTTGAAGGTAAGGTAACTATTTTATGTTGGGGTGATGAGCCCTATGGTTCTGTGATGTTTGTTCATGCCCATACTTAGGGGCAGGCCTGTGCAGGGTGTGAGCAGCCAGCTACACTTGCGCTGAGCCTTGAAGGGCTAAGCTGGCCAGTCACAGATCAGAAGCTTTTCTGTTTGAGTTTATAACTTTATTCTAACAAGACTCCCACCCTGGGCATCAGACAAGCTCTGCATGGGGTTCCAGGACTGGTAAAGGATGAGGCTGATTCAGTCCTATGTGGTTGGTATTCCTGGGTGAGAGACAGGAGAAAGCTTCATTGCTCTGCAAGTGATAGCTGGGTGGACACTCAAGTGAGTTAGTTAACTGGGGCTTCACATTGATGGCGCCTCCTTCCTGTTACTTCCTGGAGTGTGATTTTTGTGAGAGCCTAGAGCCTAGATTGGTGTTGGATGGAGGAGAATTTGATAGATGAGCAGTATCCTCTTTTCACAGTGGCCAATCAGATACCTCAGTGGGAAAACCCGCAAGCAGGGTCTGAACACAAGAGGGCTCTCCCTTCCTATTGTTTTGGCTGCTGGCATGCAGAAGCATTTCTGCATCTGGCCATGATGGCAGACCAAAGCCATCCTGGCTAGTACAGTGGTACCTCGGGTTAAGAACTTAATTCATTCTGGAGGTCCGTTCTTAACCTGAAAGTGTTCTTAAGCTGAGGTACCACTTTAGCTAATAGGGCCTCCCGCTGCCGCAACACCACCACCGCCCAATTTCTGTTCTCATCCTGAAGCGAAGTTCTTAACCTGAGGTACTATTTCTGGGTTAGCGGAGTCTGTAAGCTGAAGCGTCTGTAAGCTGAAGCGTATGTAACCCGAAGTACCACTGTAGTCATCAAAGCCATTCATGAATTTGTCTAATCTCTTAAAGTCATGTAATCAGTGGCCATCACTGCTTCCTGTGGGCATGAATGCCTTACCTCAAATCTGTGCTGTAGGAAGAACAACTTGATTTCAGAAGTCTTCCTGAATCTTCCAACACTCAAGTTCTAGTGTTATGAGAGAGGGATTCCTATAATGTGGGGTGGGGCTTACCTACGCCTCTCCCCAATATTTTATTCAAGCTGGCATCCCTGCAGTCTAAGTCAGCCCTGTCCTTAATTTCAATTAGTCTCCTCTGAATAGGACTAAAATTGGATGCAACCCAATAATTATTTTTGGAAGCTTTTTGAAAGCACTGCACCTTCACTTGTCCTGGTTCGAAAAGACTAATATTTCCATTTATTGCTCCTGTGCAGATATTTAAAATACATGATTAAAACTGTGACCCTTTTATCTTCTTTGATACCTTTAGTGAGGGCAAATTACTTGATCCCTATTTGCAAATTCAAAGCAATACCGAAGTGATATGCAATTCTGCCCCCTTCCCCCCACTTCTTCATCATTGGCAGTGTTTCGGGCAAAGGGTGCCCTGAAGTAACCTAGCTGTTGTCTAATTATATCACGTCTCAGTGGAGTCCTTGGCTTCCAGTAAACTGCACAGATCCAGATGTCTGGAGCCTCTTCAATAATTAAAAGGACAACATGCACACACACACACACACACACACACACAGGGGGGGGGGAGGGAGGAGGGCATAGAGTCTCGCTAAGCCCACCCATATAGCTCTGCTGGCTATGCAAAAATTTTTAAAACTTGGCAATTTTTGCTTTGCATGTGTGAGAGATGATGAGAATCTAAAATAAGGGAGGACAACATATATTTCAAGTGAAAGAACAGCATCACATGATCAACACCGGTTAGTTTTCAGCCTGCGGGAACCATTTTAAAATGGACCTGGCCAGAGAAACAAACCAGTTTTCAGATTCTAGAGAAAACATGCCTTCTCTATGTACCTTGTCCTCCACTTTGACATCTACTACAGTCCTTCCTCAGTTTCATTTCATTTATTAAGTTGACTTACCAATCCATACAACTGAAAGGTTCCCCAAAGATAAATAAAACAAAGTGAGACAACCCTTTAAGAAGGATGTTGACAAACTGGAACATGTGCAGAGGAGAGCAGCCAAGATGATCCAGAGTCTTACAAGACCACAAGCTTAACATGAGTCAACATGTTAAAGCAAAAAACAAAACAACAAACAAACAAAAATGAGTCAACAGAGTGATGAAGCAGCAAAACCCCTAAT